ATAATAATAAATTATAATAATAAGGATAATTTCTATAGCGCCCACTAAAATATTATTTCAATCAATGTTTATAATGCATGCTGACCTTTCAGGGCACAACAATTTTTGCAAATTGTACATAAAATACGAGTAAGCCTGCACTCGCAAACTGACGACGAATACATACAACAACTAAAAAGACAACCACTGTGGCTACTGATCACTCTTGCTGTTAGAGAATAAGACTAGTTAGTAAAATGAAATTTAAATAAATATCGTGACCTTTAAACCGCGATGAGACAGTCATAAACCAATATATGGTTTAAGACGCCCTAGCATTTCAAGAAATATTGACTTTGAGAAATAAAGTATTCAGGTCAACTTGACGCTTTCCTGTCCAAAGTTTTGTCAGATGGATTCGGGTCACTTCCATTACGACTCAAAACTCCAGAACAGTTGACCTTTGGAGTAGAGATTGTTATTTTTAAAAAGTGATAAACGATTGCCTAAATACAGCAGTCTACTAACTGTTTTCTCTTATAGACTTACCAATTATGTCTTTTTTAGTGAGTGCATGGTCATTACAAGTCAGCTTCCGGTCGTCTGTCACTTCTGCCTCAAGCATAAGGTCCATCATGTCGACAGCTTTAGAAGAAGACGCTCCTTGTTTTTGTTTCATTTTCTTCTTTTCATTCATGGAAGTTTCAGCAAGGCTAACAAAATAGTTTTCTACCTCTGGGACAATAGGATCTACGTTGCTGGATAACCTTGAGCCAATTTTCATCAATTTGGGGAAATAGAACGCTAGGTATCGGAACACCCGGAACCCTAGTTTCCCCATTTGGAAGAAGTTTTCTATGTGGTGGAAGAACTCGCTGTCTTCTTTGGTCACAGCTTCTACATCGAGCCCAAAACCCGTCTTCGCAATGACGTCACTGGTATAGCGCGCGGCAAAGAGTTTCACCGGGATGAGCTGCCCTTTGCTGTGGGTATCTAGAAAAAGCTGCGCCAGATTGGAAGCGCTGTCGTCGATGTGAGGAAGCATGAGCCTCATTTTGCCACCGGTGAACATGGGCGACAAAACATGGCGGTTTCGCTTCCAAGTATCACCGTTCTGGAAAAATAGACCATCTACGACAGAGGAAGTTGTCGTCTCCATGTACTCACGGTCCACAAAGCTAGAGAAATCTTTCACCAGAACGTTGTTTAAAATGTTCACGTCTGTGGTTACTAAAGTAGCACTTTTTGTTTGGAAATTGTAAAGGCCATAGCTTCTCCCGTATTCCTTCTCCCATTTCTCGAGACAGGCACCCATGCCAGCTCTCAGCTCCGGTATGTGGTACAGGACTGGCCACGGCTTGGGCCCAGGCACTCCCAGACGCTCCCACACATCCAGGTTCCGGTTTACATGCCAGTAGAGAAGTAGGATGAGCAGGAAGACGCCCAGTAGTATGTCAGAGACATTTCCAAGTACTGGAACGTACATGGTGTCCTGTAACGGAGAGATGTATTCTTTGTGTGAGTGTGAGTCTAACAACACACGAGACACTAACAGGCCTGGGTGCTTGCCCAGGGGATAGGAGAAAAAAGGAAGACAAGACGACTCATAATATTATTTAATACTCCTCTCCTTGCCTACTATCTACTAAATGTATCTGAACATTATACATGTATATATACATCATAATATATATTTATCATATATATGTACCATACATATATAT